TCACTCCCACATAGTCAGTCAGCAGAAGTTCGGGTTTGGCTTCAGCTGCCAGAAGGCTGGCAACAGCTTTTGGCGTTGCTGTCGCCGCTTTGACAACGCCTTTTGTGATTGGAATATAAAATCAGATACAATACATTGTGCTGCGACGATGGCAACAATGGCGTTGAATCTGTGGAAGACGCTGTGGCAGGCAATCTGGCTGGCTGGCTGGCTGGCTGGCAGTCAGGCAACAAGCAACAAGCAACCACACAAATCAAACGCATCTGTTGGTGAATTCGTCAGGCAACTGCTTGGGAATTTGAAAAGAAGTCGCAAGCTGTGGACACATATGTGTAGGTTCCCTCTACTATCTGTATCTGTATCTGTATCTGTGACTGTAACTGTAACTGTATCTATACATTCGTATCTGTGAGTGTGTAGGTTTGTCAATTGCTGACGGCTGTCTGGTAATTACGTGACGTTTTTGATAAATTTTGATTCGCCACGTGATGGGGCACGGGGCAAGGAGGTAGCCATTACTTAAGACTAATGTGCGGCATGCTCTCAGAATTGGAACAAACGCTTTAGCATATCTATTTTTATGTGTATTGAGTTTAATGCATTTACTATTAACGGTTTTTGGCTATGTCGCCAACTTAACCACATGCTGACCCAGTTCGTCAATGGAATCGACAAATACGCGATAGCCAAACGGATGAACAGTCAGTCGGACAAACGGACAAACGGTCGGACATATTCATTGGAGAGTCGTGAGGTTATCAACCCAAAAAAAAATAATACTGCATTCAATGCATTGACACAATTTTTGGCTGACGGCCTGCTGTATGCAGAATTATTGTAACTGTGCCTACCCAAAAGTATTATTTATACAGTTAGCTATACACACAAAAAAAATCAATAATAATAATAATGAATGTAATAGAATGTAGCAAATCACACAAGTAATACTAGATTGTGTTAAGAGTAATATTGTATTGGCCTAATCAATTCCAAAATATTTGATTAATTTCTACTACAAATTTGAAATATAGATTTTTCTCTCTGTGTATTTCATTTGTTTTGTGAGTGGACGCATGCAACCAGTTACACACACCTAAACTTAGTTGTTACTGTACATAGAATTGACTTTTAGCTGTCGGCCCTCTTTCGCCTTCTGCCACCTTTCACCAGGGAACAGCAAATGTTGCATTTAACGCTGTTGCTGTCGCTGTCGCTTGGTTTATTTTAATGTCATTATGCTAATTTTACAGTTCGATTGAATCGAACTGCACAAAAACCAAAATCAACTGAATACAATATATACTTACTATATTACATAGAGATTTTTCTGGGCCGGCAAGTGAATGGCAGTCTTTCTGATTGGCATCTCTGTTCATATATTGATGTTCGCTATTGTTGTTATTGCTTTGTTGTTTTTGTTGTTGTTGTTGTTGTTGTCGTTGTGGCTAATGTCGCTTCGCTGTTATGTATTCTCTGCTCGCTGCCTGCATTTGACATTTTGCTCATTGCTTTCTTGCTAATGTGCTTGTTGTTGTGGTTGTTGTTTTTGTTTTAGTTGTAGTTGATGTTTTTGCACGCCTCTTTAGCTTTCAATAAAAATTGTTGAATAATCAGCAGCAGCAGCAGCAACAGCAGCTTAACCATCAGCAGCAGCAGCACCAGCAGCAGCAGCAGCGTGATATGCGCATTGAAAGGTTCAAGAAGAAAGCGTATTTGCGAATTTGTGTGTGTCTTGATTTGCGTGATGTGCATACGACTTTGAGGTTGGCTGACAAAAGCAGTTGGCATGGCAGCTGTACCTCTTACTCGTGCTCGCATTCATATTATGTAAGCCCGCAAATGTTATGCTATTTTCAAGCACTATATAAATAACGAGCGTGTGTGTGCCTTAAAGGTTCAAAAAGAAAAGGGCGAAAGGCAGAGACCGAGGGCAATGCCCAAAATTCGGTTTAATGATGGTTCATAACTTACTTCATTATATGTATGTATGTAGAGCTGCTTTAAATGTTAAATAGTCAACATTGGACTTAAGGCCATAAAAAATCGACAGGTTGAAGTTTCAAACGGATTTCAATAGCCACTTAATGATGTGATTGTTTCAAATTGATAAAAATAAATGCAAAAACTTCAACTTAGATTTATTTTGACTAAAATCATGTTTGAGAATTAAAACATAGTCTTAATCCAAACCGGAAAATTGAACAGGACCACTGTCTTTAAAAATCAGTTCAGAATTTTACTTTAAGAAGTTTATTTTAAAAAACGGGCTTCCATAATCACAATACATTCGTATTTTAAAAGGGGTTTGGATGTGTCACTTGTTTGTCCATTAGTTCTTAAGCCATTATGGATTACTTTTGGTAGCAAAAAATGTCGAATTGCAAATTTTCTCTAACACATTTAATCTGAAAGTTCTCTTATACATAAACGTTTTACATTTTTTCAAGAAAAAATATAAATTTTTATTTACACTGACACATTCTATCTTAAACTTATCTCTTTAATATCATTTAACGTTATTCTAAATAAATAAAGCTACAATTTTAGCCGTCGATGTGACAACAACACTTACCGCATATATATTCTAGGCAAAAAGAGAAAACCCGAAACGACACATTGTTAACAGTGGGTTGTTGTTGTTATTGTTGTTGTCGCCCCGCAGCACAATTTTTCAACAATTTCGAGAGCTTGACCCAAAGCATTTAGTGCTTAAGAGGAAAAATAGGCAAAACGTGCCGGGCATAAGTGAAAATTTCTAGGCAGCACCATATTAAATGTCGCTATGACCATATTTAAAAACCAAAAGCCAGTAGTAGTCACAGATTGCTTTTGTTATTGTTGTCGTCGTTGCTGTTGTTGTTGTTGTTGTTGTTGCTTAGCTGCTGTTGCCACTTAATAAACTAAAAACCGGTAGCATAAAATGTTGCTTGCTGCACAACAACAACGCCTGCTTAGTTAGCTGGATGACTGGCTTGTAATACCAATGTGGGTTGCTAGAGAGAAAAAAAAAATGAAGAAAAAAGGTCAGGCGGTCAGCGATGGCACCAAATGGGTTGTGCTACAAAAAACTACAGAAAATTTCATAATCAGATAGAAAGAAGACCACAGACGGAAATTCCTATTTGAAGAACGCATTTTGTAATTGCTAATGGAGGACTATTTTGGGTTAAGTTTCAGTTCAATAATGGTGAAATTTGGAAAAGAAATCGATATACATTCCAATCCGGGCTTCCGCCAGGTGCATTGATTGATCTTTGAATTAGTTAATTGGTTTTCGAGTTCATAGGAATTTGTGCATTGATTAATTTCCTGCTGGCTTGATTTTGGCCAAAGGTTCAATGCACCTCAGGGCGCTGCATTAACTGTTATAGTTAGCCAGATATGCAAACATCCAGACACCGTCAGCTGCCAATTATTAATTAACTGTAAATGTCACGGGCTCACGGCAAGACATTAATCATAATTAGTTATGCCACACGACAACGCAACAACAACCAAAAATAGCCACAACAGCGACAACAACAAATTGTGGTCATTGATATGTAAACAATTAGAGTTGATTTGAAAAGGCGATTGGAGTTCACAAAGTGGCAACAGAGGGCAAGCGCGATTATTGTTGAAAGTTTGTTCAAACGATTAGCCAAATGTAGCGCAAAGGCTTTTAGGGCTTGTTGCTCTCGTTGCTGTTGCTGTTGCTCTTGTTGTTGCGGTTGTTGATTTTGTTGTTGTTATGCATCTACGTAACGTAAATGAGTAAATGAGTAAACAACAGTAACAGCAAAAAGAAAAGGTACACAATGATGCACATAACCGGCTTTCGGACTGGATTCACGATTCACTTTGCCACTCGTACAGAGATAGAGATAGATAGAGCAAATGCGGCGTATGCGTAATGTGAATGCTTTTGCCCAGACGTAAGCGTGTGTGTGTGTGTGTGTGTTGTGTTAAACCCTTTTGAGAAGTTATCTAATCCAATTAGGAGCTGTCGCAGCATTTAACTTTTCGAACGCAACATTGCGTAAAAAGCACCAAAATGGGCGTGGCCTTGTCTCGGGGGCATGACGCAAATGTTTTGGCACACAATTTATTGTTGTTGTTGTATCTGCTCTCGATTAAGTTTCGAGCACCAGCTGACAAAATTCGTTATAAAATTGCAATGCAATGGACGTTGGCAGTAAACATTTTAAACAATTATAAAACTTGTTTTACGCTTCACAAAACTACACAAAATTGCTTTGTAAAAATAGAAATAAAATAGCAGCACTCCATCTGCAACAGCTAAGTGCAACCAACGATTTGCCATCAAATGTGCGGCAGCTGTCAAGTGCAGCAACGCCTGCAATTTTTTCTATCATTTTCTTCTTTTTTATGTGTGTGTGTTTGGGGATTAACGCGTTTCGCATTTCACTCAAATTATTTGAAAACTAACGCTGAATAGCTGGGGCTAAGTTTGCAGCCAAGTCAAATGTCCACACAGCTGTCTAAGCGATTGTTAAATTTATATTTGAATTACGAGACTGGTTTTTGGAAAATTAAGTATGTCATTCGGAATTACCAATTTAATTATTCATTTAGGCTATTTTATTTTGATTCATAATTATTCTAGTCATCAGCTGACACTTAAATGTACTCTTCATTTTGCTTTAAGGATTATCAATATATCATTAAATTTGGCCCCAAAACCTGTTAATAAATCTCTTCAATTAATAATGTGACTGGGATTAAAACATCTTCGTTCACATATACTACATATTACCTTTATTAATTTTGTGATGCACCAATACATACAAATATATATGATGTTTGAATTATGTTTTAATCAAAGTTTTTACATAAAAAGTTCATAATTGATTTTTTGCTCTAGTCAAGAGAGAAAGACGAGTTATCGACATTCCTTTGAAATTGACAAACTTTGAAAGCATTTTGTAAAGATTTTGATTTTACTTTCAAACTGGTATTGATCGAGCTGAGAATTGTTTTCAAAAAGAGAAATTATCGACCGAGTATTAAATTAATCTGAATTCTTCTGTTACAAGGTTGCAGTGAAGACAAAAATTATGTCAAAAAATTATTTAGAGCAGGGCAAACTGATGGCTGTCATCGGCGATGAGGTTAGAATAAATGGAACGCATTCAGCTAAAGTTTAATATTATTTCCGTACTCACAAAATTTCTGCAGGACACCTGTGTTGGATTTCTGCTTGGCGGCATTGGTGAAGTTAACGACGAGCGTCAGCGCAACTTTATGGTCGTCGAAAAGGGTAACTCGACAAGCAATTCAGAGTACTTAATTAGTTTGATGTTTTCGCAGGCACAAGCGTCACTGAAATTGACAAATGCTTCAAGCGCTTTTTGGCTCGTGAAGATGTTGCCATTATAATGATCAATCAGGTATATGCTGACATGATACGTCCCACCATCGATAATCATTTGTTGGCAGTGCCCACTGTGCTGGAGATACCCTCAAAGCAGCTTGCCTACGATGCCGGCAAGGACTCCATCCTGAAGCGTGCGAGTGTGAGTTACACTTTCAAGAAAAGTCGTACTATACTTGCTTGTTAAAGTCAACTATTATTATTCAGGGCATTCTGAAGCCGATTGTGCGTCGTCGCTAACAGCATTCCAGATCATATTATATGCATTACTTTGTAATAAATATGAAGGTGCGGCTTACGCCACTGGCTCTAAAAGGCTTTTGTCATTGTTACAAACTCGATGCCACAATTGATTTGAAAACTTAAAAAAAGAAAAAAAAGAAAATGAAACAAATATTTCGGGAAACTTTTCAAGTTTGCGTTTTAAGGAAATTGTCGAAAAAAGCATCAGACAAAATGGCAAAAATCTGTGTGGCAAAAATAGAAGAAGCGTTGCACGTTGGAAGTTGCAGTGGCAACCGCAACACAACAGCTCAAGCCATAACAAAAGTAACAACAAAGTGAGCGAAAACGATACAAATAAGCGTTGAAAATGCCAATACATAGCCAAAACGTTGGGTGAAAACAAAAGCACAAGTCGAGAGAGGAACTCACTCTATCCCTCTCCCTCTCGCACTCTTTCTTCTACACACACATACACACACACTCACACACACACAACAAAAAGTCGCTGCAGCAAACTCTTGAAAAGGCGAGCGCACATTGATACAATTTACGTTGCAAGAGTTGAATTGTGTGGCAGTGGGGCGAGGTGGCACAGTTCTTGCTAGAGCGCTTAGCAGAACAAAAGCATGCGAAAACAATATTTGCGCAAAGTATTTTACAGCAAACTTTTCGCGCCATGAAGTTAACGCAAAGGCATTCAAGAAGTTGCGACAAGTTTGGCGCCTTCGTCTATTTGGAAGTCTGCGCTTTGGGCGTGGCATTGCCGCTATACCCAAAAGTAGGCAACGCCTGCTGCCATCCAATACGAATCGACGCCTGCAAGTTTGCAACGGTATATTTGCCAACATGCTGCACATCATCAGTCACCGACTTTGATAATCCCATTCAAATTTAATGAGCCGCACAATTTGGTAGCAACCAATTGGCCAACTGTCAAAAACCAGCGCTGCAGGTACAAATTTCTGACAACAAAATGGCGTGCACCATTTTCGAGGGCCTAATTAACCACGCAGCTGTCACAGTCACAACCCCTCCCCCGTTGATTCCATTGCACCGCTTTGCAGAACTGCCGGCGGTTCACGCTGCGTATGCGTAATCGCATTTCGTTTGATCTGCGAAATGCATTCAACTGCACAACTCAACCGTAAATGCTACGCCGATGCTGTTCCCTCCACACCAGCTCACCCTTTGCTCACTCTTTTGCTTAATGACTGCAGATAAATATCCTGTTTATCAAATCTGTGGCATTAACAGCCGTTCTCGAGCCTGCGATGCCATTAAAAGTTCAGTTATATTGGAGCAGTAAATCTATCGATTTTATCATCACATTTTTGTTACACTTCCAATATTATGTGCACACTATATATTCTCTTTGTGTTCAGCGAAATCGACAAATTAAATTGCATAAAATTCTAATAGTTCGCTGTAGTAAAACTTTACTCTATTTAAAACTAACTATACTTACTAACTATATTGATCAAAGTTTGTTACTGATAATTATATATATTTTTCATATCGTTTGCATTTCAAAAATCCATTGCAAACACGGTATTTACAAACCCGATATTTTTATGTGAAATCGAGTTGCTCTTATTTGTCCGACATTAATTGGCCTGAAAGCAAACAACCAAACAAACATCTTTACCTTTGGCATGTAAATTATTATGTCTTTGCAAAAGGCCTTTGTTCACTTCTTTTAATTAAAATTGCATGCTATTGGTTTGCTGGAGGAGAAACAAGTAAAACATGTGGATGCTTCATTGTACTTTTGACATACGACGACAAGTCTGCAGCGAGAGCAGAGGCAAAAACAGAAAACCAAATAATAAGTGACTGATAAAAGTCGACTCAATGTAAGAAAGTACTGTTGGGGGTGGCTGAGAAACTTTTACAGCCAGCACTATGAAGTGAAAAGAAATAAATAAATAAAATTATTCAAAAAAGTAATTTAAAATTCTCATGGCAGCTCTTATATACAAACAGCTGAATTCAATTAGATAACGACAGGATGCAGAAAGGAAAAGAGCGCCGACCAATAAGCAACAAGGCAAAGAAAGAGACAGACAGAGAGAGATATATGGAAAACTAACAAAAAAGACCCTGAGAAAATATACAATAGTTAGCCAAAGTAAATGATATGTATAGACCCGAAATAGTATCTGAGCAGCTCGACGAGCGCTTCAATTGCTAATTGAAACTAGGAACTGCAACTTTTTGCTTCACTTTGAGAACTCTTCCTTCCAATGAATCAGACTGATTTGACAAGAACCTGACTGTCAAGGTACCTTATATTCGGATTTCAAATACAGGGAGAAATAAAAGTCGAGTCAAAGCCCCAACCAAACATTTTTTTTAAATAAAAAATATTAAAATTTATTTTGCTATTTTTATTATTATGATTAATAATTTTGTTTGTTTTAATTTTTTAGTTCAAGAAACCTTTGTATAAATATTTAAATTTGCCTACTCTACTAGTCCGTTATTTGTATGTGTAAAATTGTCCGATATTTTGAAAGTTACACAGTTTTAAGGGAATGGATTTGTTTATTATTTTCTAATTGATGAGAAGTCGAATCGAGCAGTGAAGCGAACCAACATAAAATGTTATTTTCTTTAATATATTTTTCTTTATTTTTGAATGCATTTATTTTTGAAATCTTCAAAAGCAAATGTTAAACCAACCCATTATTTATGTGTTTCGAATGTTTACAGGGTATGAGTGCTTTCAACAAATTATCATACTCAAATAGACCACAAAATGCTGTGCAATATTCGTAATGCAAATTAACAAATGAAATTGGCCAACAGAAAATTAACTGGCAGCTTTCAAGTAGATGGACAACTACAAGCAAGTGATGGACGCAGAGAAACGCAAAGAGAGCACAAGCAATTGGTAAAATTATTGCGTTTGGAACGTTGCCTTGCTTCAATCAGTTGCACAGACAGCACAAAAGACGACCTCACACAGACAATTGCAGACACTTGGCACTGTATGGCAGAGTGGTTGTTTTGGAAGAAGTGCAGAGGGAAGGGGAGTAGGTGAATGAGTAGGAGAATTAGAAGGAGGAGGAGCTGCTGGATTCGATGTGCTCGAAAACAAAGTTAATTAAATGATCTGATCTCCATTATTCCCAAGAGCTAATCTCAATTACAAAATTGAAATGAGCAAAAGCACACGAGCACATGCAGGACACTGGACACACAGACACGCACACATATATATATACAAATATATATGTGTATATATATATATATATAGGTATGCAGAGGTTAGCCTGGGGGAATTTCAACCTTGCCTCTCAGACACACACACACATAGACACACTTGGTCAAAATGTAGCTCGAATGTCAAAGAAAACAAGGAGTGTGAAATGAACGCTAAAGATGGAAGTGCAACATAGGAGCCAAAGGCAAAGCAGGACGCCGATGTATGTATATATGGGATGGGGTTTTGGTTATATATATTTAGGTGCTGGGTGTTAGTTTGGAGGTGTGGCTTGGCTGCTGCAATGCAATCGGCACAGCACAAAGCGTTTCATTAACAATTGCAAATTGGTATCAATTCATGACAGACATTCGAATGTCTCGCTGCGTTCGTGTGTGGCATTGCAGAGCACACACAAACAGTGCCAAACACACACGCACACACACGTGACAATATATTCATATATATATACACGCATATGTGAACTCAATTCTCCGAATCATTGAGCTAAACAAAATCATTGAGGTGCCATGGACTGAGAGAGAGGCATATAGATGGAGACAGAGACAGAGAGAGAGAGAGAGAGAGAGAGAGACAGAGAGCTGTGAGGCTAAAGTTGATGTTGTTGGGTGTGAGATAGTGGTACAGACATTGAGCACTTTGGCCAGGTTAAGACCCGTTATAGAGCTGTTACAGGGCTCGACGCCAGACATACAAATTGTGCGTTTAATTAGCCTAAGCAGCTCGCTGGCTTAGTTGTAATGTTTCCCAATCAACATATATATTTGTTCAGGTTTAGGTTGACTTAGATGGCTTTATCGCAGTGCATTATGAGGTCGCTTGCAGTCAGTTGAGGCGGAACATCTGTGTCTGCATATAAGCGACTGCTACTGATTAATTAGTTTGAATTTAAATTAAGTCGGTTTCATCAATGATGCCGTCGACAAGAAATGTCGATGTCCTGCGCAATTGCAGCTCTTGATTGGAGGAGTGTCTCAATCTCTCTCTCTCTCTCTCTGTCTCTATTTGGTTCTATGGTGCATGTTGTTGTTGTTGGGGGCAGCCATCAGTTCACCTAATTTGTATTCAAAACACAGAGCAACAAGCAGCAGCAGTAGCAGTAAAAGACACTGGCGTTACAGTTACATTTGATTGAATGCCACCCGCCATGCCAAATCCAGTCGCATACCAATATTCGATTCCCCATTCCCACACTATCTGCCCCTGCCAATTTGGGCATTACATCAGAGTCAAAGATTAGGCAGCTAAGCAGCTTTTAACTTTGACGCGTGCTTGGGGTTTTCCAACTAATTGGCATCGAGTCTCAGCAGCGCCTTCTGTCGAACGGATTAACAAATTAGATACGTTGCCATATTGCATCCAAATGCAATCATCTCAGCTGCTTAGAATTGCCAGAATGGGATAATGTTTGGAGCCGTGCACTGATTTTTTTCTGGGCTGTGCATTGTTTTCGGTTCTTAATTTATTACTTTTGTGCAGCCAAGCTGATTGGAAATTATGAAACTTGATTGAAGCTGGCGTGATGAAGAACGATAGTATCCGTCCAACACTTATTCCGCCTATTTTTCCATTGCCTCTTCCTTGGGAAGAGAAAACTAATATTCCGTTGTTCTGCCATCCTTGTAGAATTATCGGATCTCTCCGCCCTAACCACACCTAACCTGCTTATAGTAAATAGGAGAATATGTAATGATGAATAAACGTATTGTGCTAAACTTATATAAAATAAAGCAATGGAAATGAATCATGTTAGGCATTGTAATCAAATCACTTATCCTCAGCCAGGTGATTCTCCAATATACAAATGGAACATCTCGATAGGATAGAAGAACTTATGTTTGTTGTCTTAATTGCTGCCAGGCCCTC